TGATGATCGAAGTTTCCAAAAAAATTTCATCCCACGGGAATAGCGCGGCTTATTCTCCCATAGTTAGCTTGCTGTATATGAGTCTTGCATAATGCTCCAAAAAGGGGACAATGGATGTTAATCCAGTCCTTTACACTACTGTGGCGTCTTCTGCTATTCAATCCTCTTATATTCCACACAAAAAACATTTACAAAAATGGGTTAATGATGTTTGGCAGCCTTGCGGCTACCCTTCTTGTATGAGACCAAGAAGAATGGACGATCATCCTCTACGGCACTCTGATCTCTGATCTCAGAACCAGCCATAATCTGATCACTAACAGCACTTTCGGCTTCCAAAACTGTCTGCCCTTTACCCTCCACATGAACAACCTGCAGCACAGATTCAGCAGTATTACCTTGCACACCTGAATCCACCTCAACAATATCTGCCTGCAAAACCAAATCAGGCTTAGGAGCACCAGTCTGAATAGGTAAATCCAAGGATTCATCACTCGGATTTTGATCCACAGAAACAGCAGCCTCACCAGAGGCAGAACCCTTATCTCTACTGACTGGGATATAGACCAGAGTACTCCTCCCAGACTGAGAACGCAAACTACCCTGAGCTGATTTAATGGAAACAGAGAACGCTGTCGGGTTGTTTGTACCATAATCCATTCCGGAAACAGGCTGGGTAATCTCACCTTCCTCCACTTCTACATCAGGCAGAAGCTTACGACGGTTTGACTTAGCTCTCCTGACGTATGTATTTTCATTATTCATTATTCAAATGGCGTATGTATTTTCAGATAACATATGGCATATATTTAACTGAGTGGGTTGTGGCATTGTGCTATTATTGTGGATGCATCGCAATCTGAATTCAGCTATAATAATGTGCATGTATGGTTCATCGATAACAAAAAAAAAGTCATTATGTAGAACTGTACATGTGAAAAAATTTGCTATGACAGAGTTATGGTCCACTGTAATAAATATGCTAAAAATAACGTTCACATGTTTGTCGCGCGTACTTTTTTATTTTGTTTCTGTTTTGATCTGCGTCACATGGATCTGAGTGACTAAAAACCATTCCATGGGCCTCTTATAACATTGAGATATTACTAGACCACAATATAATGGTTCTGATGCTCGGTACTATTTCTTATATTAAAGCCCATTAGCTCTGAATAGTCCAAAAGATCAATCTATAGTGACTTGTTATTTGAGATATTCGTTTGACTGGTAACTGAACTAGCCATTCAACAAATGAAAAGATCTTCTTGTCATGAATAGTCTATAGATAGCTTTTTTTGGTGTGTGAAACTTCCAAAACAACAAAAAACGTTGGCCTTTGACTCTACATTAGTAATAGACAAGAAAAAAGATGTTTAAATTGATGTTCATGATGAACTTGGTTTCAGCCGCCCAATTTGGGTTTGGCTCAAGAGTCAAGACGATCTAATTCTAGATTTATCATCTCACTACATGAAGTGGTGATGCTTGCAAGCAGTGGTTCTCAAACCCTATGTCTTCTATCTGAAAAAAATTGACTGTATACTAGTTTAGGTTTGATTTGGGGTCATGCATTACGGATTCCAATGAATATTCGGAAACCTTGAATTATGCTCATCTTTAAAGGACCCCATGTCACTATATATGTATTAGCTTTGGAAAAATCGAATCCACTAACGACGTCAAGTTGAATTGAATTGCCTTTTTTTCTAAATAAAAAAATTGATTATATATAGGCATTAACTAAGTTACCGTAAAACCGTTTCTTCAGAATCAAGTGGTGCTATTACTTATTAGCATATCCAAAAAAACTCTAATCATTTCTAAAGTCAAATGAAGGATGATACAAAAATAATAAAATAGAAGTCAAATTATGAATTAACACCAAAACTAATAAAAGATAGTCTAAGTTGGAAAATAAAATTAATGTCTAATTCGTCTTTCTGATAAGTTTATTGATGAAAGATTCAAGATTTCCTCATAAAAGATATATATTGAATGTTAGAAGCCGATTCTGACATTATTGTAGTGATTGAAATGCTAAATACATTAGATGCTATAGAAAATAAAACTAATTAGTCGATGCTGATTATCTCTCCAATAACCAAAAACATTTAAATTTGGAACAAAAATTGTCTTCTTTAATCACGACTCATCTATACAGATATTTAAATGCATTTTTCTATACCAAGTTTGATTACTTCTTAATTTCTAGTTTAAATAAAGGCTGTAATATGAAATTCTAAAAGTTGTAGGTAGCGATCACAAACTAGTTTTAAAACGACTGGGAAATAACAATATCTTGCGTTAATACCAAGCGACGAGTTGAAGACTAGAGTAATGTGTAGGATACATCAAAATCATTGAAATCTTCTTTGATGTTACAACATAAATAATTCTAAGCGCAGGAAAAAGTATAAACTATGATAAAAGTAGCCGAAGGAAAAAAAATACAAGAAAAGAATAATAGGAGTATGTAATTGGTTTATGGTACCAAAACCAAAAAAAGAAAAAAGAGTCGCAAGTCGCAAGATCTTTTTATCCATTTATACAGAAAACAAATACTTTCTGTTTTCAGAGGAAGATATTTGCAGGAGGCTAAAAAACAATAAAAAATTCAAAAAAAATCTAAGAAACTCATAAATAAATGGAGGGAAGGAAGGAAATTGGTGAAAAGAACATGCGAACATGTGACGGTGACGGCTAAGGATATACTTACGTCTCTCGACTTTCGTGCGTCATCGTCCGGTTCTGTTAATAATGTCTGTTAAGATTATTATACTGAACAAAATCCTGATATTTGTTTTAAATAATATTTATAAATTGAAAACTTAATAGCCGCAACTTGCGAAAGTCTGTTAAGAATCGAAGACTTCATTCAGTCTGATTCCGACAATAAAGATAGTAAAGAAAAAACTTCTCTGTGAAGCTCTTCTTCGCCTTTTCTCGGATACTCTTTTTTAATAAATCAATACTTTTATATTGTAGAGTAAGAGGTGCGCCGCAATTTATTTCATGAACAATTTTGCAAACCTTCTAATAAAAAAGACAAGAAAGATATTTAAAGCCAATGGATTTTTTCTTGACAATTGGGTTATGGTTTAGTTTCACTGTATTCTTTTAAAAGATCTTTTTTTTTTTCTATTAAGCGGAGCCTCACGAAGTTATGAATCTTATGATACAGAGTCGTTTATGTTTCAACAATTTTTCAACGTTAATTATTTCCTCTGTTTCAAAAAGAAAGATTTTCTAGTTTTTAATATTAATTTTCCAAAGAATTTTTATTATTCAATGATGATGACTTGTAAATCTCAGTAATTATATTTTAATTGTTATAGTTTACTTTAACACAGAAAATTTCTAGTGTTAATCTCAAATCTAGTATGAGTATCTATAGTATTGAAGCTAGGTTATGAAATGTTAGGTATTATACTTGATTATTTTTTAAAAACATAAAGATTCTATTAATTAAGTATACGTAAATCATAGAGTTGAATCATATTTATACATTTAATTTAATAACAACTAATTAATAAACAATACTATACCGTTATTAATAAACCAAATTTCTAACTTACCCGGCGGCGTGTTATAAACCATCCAAAAATAAGTATTTCAGAAAGATCCTGAATTCATGCATTGGTAACGGGAAGGAGATTAATTCTGCTTTGATTTCCAGCCCGAGTCAATTATAGACCTAGATTTGAAATTTCTTGGTAAAAAATATCGTCGTTATTGCCTAATGTTTAGAACAATTAATATATTTAAGTACAATTTTATACACATACCAATATTATAACAAAATTGTAAATATAGTAATATTTTTAAAACATGATCACATTGTATATGAATTAGATACGAAAATATATAGAAACATAGACGAAAAGGGATAGTATGAAAGTACACTGAAAAACAACGATAAGCGTTTCTATGATTTTCATGCAACCATGCTCACTACGACTTAGACTTGGCTGGGCCAAGCAAGTTGATGTGAAAACTTCTATATTAAGCATTTTCTTACGATAAAAGTTAAATTTATTGTATAGTTTGTGACCACTAAAATATTAGCAAGAAGAATAATAATTGGAAGAGTTGTCGGATAAAGTCATATATGGAAGTAAGCATCAAAATCTGTTCAAATTGCTATTGGAATTGGTAAAAGACAATAAAATATAAATCTAGTACAATTCACATGTGACAACTTCATTGTATTCAGCAATTTTTTTCATCTATCCATATCAGTTTCATTATTTTTATAGGACACATTATGGTATTCGAGAAAAACATGCAAAGTGCAGCTGCTGCAAGAGTAGACAGTTCTTTTCATCTTTCATTGTCTTTTAACCACTAATCCACAAATTGATTTTATATAATGGAAACCGGTTCTTCTAAAAAGGCAAAAAATATTAAAACGTTACAACATGGAGAAGAACTAGATTCTTGGATTGACCAAAAAAAAAAACACCACCTTAAACCACAAACCCACATTGCAGTTTTTTATAATTATGTTAAAATATCAACGAGAATATCTAAACTTTGTTCAGATATAATATTGATCGTCATCGATTGGTTAATAAATTGACGGTCGGTCAAGGAAGACTGACCATCAAATATCTCGATCTGAAATATCGCAACTAAGCCAACGTCGTCTGATGAATATTTATATTTTAACAAAATATTTTAAGTTTCAGCAGCCCAAAAAGGAAATATCAATCAAATATCCTCCTCTCTCATCACGTGCATTAACTATTCACAAAAATTCAGACTTTGGAAATACACTTATTTACTATTAAAAATGTTTAAATATTAATTTTTTTGAGTATATATATAAATTGTGGAAGTTGCGCCATGAGGCACAATTTACAGTCACGAGCTACGTGCTCTGTATCTTCCAAACACTTCAAATCATATTTTTTCCAATTCTGAATCCTTAAAAAAGGAAATTTTAACCCTAAACCAAAGTTCGTATCTATAAAAACGAAACCTTTCTTCACAATCCTCTCACAACCCCCATCAAAACCAGAGCTTTTCTCTTCGTAATCTCTCACAGAAACTCGCGTCGGATCGTTTCCAATGGAGTGGGTTCGTGGAGAAACAATCGGATACGGAACTTTTTCCACTGTCAGTCTAGCGACGCCGTTAAACATCGGCGAACTTCCAGCTCTTATGGCCGTGAAATCGTCGGATTCATACGGCGCCGACGCAATCGCGAACGAGAAATCAGTGTTGGATTCACTCGGAGATTGCTCCGAGATCGTACGGTGTTTCGGCGAGGATCAAACGGTGGAGAAAGGCGAGAAATTTTACAACTTGCTATTGGAGTACGCTTCGAGAGGAAGCTTGGCGACTCAACTGAAGAAACTAAACGGTGAGGGTTTACCGGAATCCACCGTGCGCCGTCACACTGGATCCGTGCTCCGTGGGTTACGTCACATCCACTCGAACGGGTTCGCTCACTGCGATATTAAACTCGGGAATATTCTGTTATTCGGCGACGGCGCCGTTAAGATTGCGGATTTCGGTTTGGCGAGGAGGATTAACGGAGAATTAACGGCGTCGAAAGAAGGAGTGGAGATTAGAGGGACGCCGTTAAATATGGCGCCGGAATCCGTTAACGATAACGAGTACGGATCAGCGGCTGATGTGTGGGCGTTAGGATGCGCCGTAGTTGAGATGTTTAGCGGGAAAACGGCATGGAGTGTTAAAGAAGGGTCAAACTACATGTCGCTTTTGTTACGAATCGGTGTCGGCGACGAGTTGCCGAAGATTCCAGAGGAGTTGTCGGAAGAAGGAAAAGACTTCTTGTCCAAGTGTTTCGTCAAAGATCCCGAGAAAAGATGGACGGCTGAGATGCTTTTAAACCATTCGTTCGTAGCCGTTGATTGCGACGATGGCCAAAAAGAAGAATTCTTTATGAAGGTGAAGGAGGAGGAAGAAGAAGTATCGACGTCGCCGAGATGCCCTTTCGGATTTCCAGATTGGGAATCTGTCTCGTTGGATTCAGACACGCAATATCAGCCGTTGGATTCTCCGGTGGAGAGATTTGAGAGTTTGGTCACTGAATCAATGATGCCTGATTGGTCTGTCGCCGGAGACTGGGTCAACGTACGGTGACGGTAGTGATAGAGAAACAGAGTGGAAAAACAGAGTTGTGAGACGATGGCTAGGTCTTTTTTTTTAATTTAACCTAGTTAGATCCAAACTCAACGATTCTTATTCATATATTTTTTATATGTAACCATTTGTTAAATCTGAACAAATCTTTGTAGACTTACATATTATTGATGTGTTTTGAGATTGTAAAATTAAGAATGTTTGAAACAGGATCGTGGCTACCACACGATACGATACCTTACTTGAATTCGTTGCTTTACAAGTAAAACAAGCTTTTTGGCTAAGTTATCTTAAATTGGCAAAAAAATACTTGATTTCCTACGTACGTGTCTCGGAGATTAGTCTAGGTTTAGGTCCATGATATGGATTATATATAAAAGAAACACCACTTACACCACAATCTCAGCTCAATAGGACGTCGTCGTTTAGATTCCTTAAGCATCTCACTATCAAACTGAATTTTAGGCCAATTGGTGTTTGGAAGCCCCCATTAAGTTCCAAGAGCTTTATAGACATAGCGATTCCATGGTTGTATGTATCTCAATGTAACTAGTCATAAACCTTTCTCAGAAATATCTTATGGAATGTGGCCCATTAGATGAAATTAAAAACATAAGGAAATCGAGTTGTCATCACTGAGTATGGACTTGTTGTAGCCAACATGCCAAGACAAGATTCTTCTTCGTGTCATCCTGTGTGGGACATAGCGTTGGCTTTGTAACACAAATTAACTAACCAGGAGCTTAATGCTGAGCTGCTTACTGATCATAACTCAAACCTTTATTCCAGTGCGTTTGTGTGAACTTTCACATGTACAGACTTACAGTATGATTAGTTCCATTTTCTGTGCAAGTATAACCCTCTCTATGAACATTTTCAAACTCTCTCCTTTTATAAGTCCTCGCTGTCTTTAACTCTGGCAGTTATTCTAAGAAGCTTTTGTGCACAAGCACAATTGATGACTATTGCAAGTGAGATAGGGAAATTGAGAACATAATAGAATCCAATGTAGAGATTAACAAAGTCAGATTCATATTTATTATAAGTTTAATGCACAAAGAAGACTCATAGGATAGATACAAAATCTTAACTGAAACTTGTAATGTACTGTGTTAGATGAGCCAACTTCTCTGTTTGCTAAGATAAGCCAGACAATTTTAAACTTGGCGATTAAAAAAATTTGATATTGATTAGTAGACCTCCAAATTAGTACATGGTTTTATGGATCTACCAATAAATCATGTAGTTGTTACATTTTCCATAGATTCAACATCGTCCAATAAGTTCACTAATACGTCGGACCATAACGATAGTGTCAGTATCACATGAACATCGATACTTCCTTCTTCAATCCCTCGAAAAACGACAAGTTTGTCACCAATACCATTTGCCGGTCCAGCTCGAATAGCAATCGGTTTACCCAAACCAAAATCGTTCTCATACACTTCGAACCAAGGAGAGTTATTGACAATCAAAGAATTGTCACCTATTCTACTTACAACATCAATTCTTGGGATCTTAATGTTTCTAACCCAAGTCTCTGCAAAAGTCTTATAATTCTCATTCGTTTGCGACCTCACAGTTTTACTGATCTGCAAAGGAGCCCAGCCCAATTCACGATCGGCCAGACCTCCCACGGTGGCTGTAGTTATACCCGGAAGGGTCACATTCCCGAAACACTCTTTCTCAAGCGGAGGGTTTAACCTCTGCCTAAAATCTGCTGCTACCATGCAGCGTGTCTCTTCTTCTCGGTTTAGACCACTGTGTCTTGCGATTGTCTGCCATAAATATGCCAACACCGCTTAAAGAAACGAGATTTTAGGTCGCTTGATCTAATCTCGGCGTTAGCTTTAGCTTTGAGAACTGAAACGTTCTTCTTTGTGAATTGAAAAAATCTCTCTTTCGTGACACTTTCACGACTCGTAGCCATCTCTGTCTCTATCTCCGAAACCGCCAAATCGGAATATGGATCGGGAAATCGATCATGTCGAGGAACCATCCTTTGAATACATTAGGCTGATCAAGATTCCCCTTTTGACCACTAAAGTAAATCTTTGACCAAGTGTGGATGAATTTCCTCATGGAAGAACCATCGGCCACCAAGTGGTTGTATCCGAAGCTAATGAAATTCCGTCTATAATCTCGGTGACTTGTATAGCAAGCAAGGGCTCGGAAACGCCATTGATGCTTCTGACACCGTTCACGGGGAAGAAAAGCCTGAAAACATCTGAAACAGAGCCATCACTTCGAAAGGGATCACTTACCGAAAGATTATTTGTTTTCTATATTTCTCAATGAAATCATGCATCGAAAAATTCAACATCAGAGAGTAGGTTAATTAGTACATCAGACCAAAGAGTCGCATGAACATCAATTCTTCCTTCTTCTACACCCCTAAAAAGGACGAGTTTTCCACTGATACTACTATTGCTCGGTCCAGCTCGAGCTGCCATCGGTTTACCCCAACCGAAGTCTTATCATACACTTGGAACCATGGTGAGCTTGTGACAACAATAGAATCACCAATAACCACTTTTACTTCCAACACTAATTTTTGGGATCTTTACATTCCTAACCCAATTCTCTGCACAAGTTCTATAGTCTTCAGTAGTTAATTAGAGACCTCACCATTTTGCTGATGTGGAGAGCATCCCATCCTAAGCCATGATCCAGCAGGTCTCTCCCGGTGGCTATGGCGATACCCGAAATGGGCCATATTACCAAAACACTCTTTCTCAAGCGGAGGGTTTAGCCTCTGCCTCATGTCTGCTGCTACTTTGCAGTGGCTCTCTCCTTTTCCGTTTAGACCACCGTTTTCTTGCGATTGATCGCCATAGATGTGCCAAAACCGCTTGAAGAGATGATATTGTTAGGTCGTGTGAGCTACTCTCGCGGTTAGCTTTAGCTTTAAGATCTGAAACTTTCTTCTTTGTGAAGTGAAAAACTCTCTCTTTCGTAATGGGCACGGAAGAGAGTTCACGGCTTGGTGATGGCGTCGATACCGTCGAGGAACCATCCTTTGAGAAGAAGAGGCTTATGATCAGAACTAGAACCATTGGAGCAAATGTTTGACCAAGTTTGGAAGAAGTATCATATGGAAGCAGTGAAGCACCATCGGCCACCATGTGGTTGTAGCCGAAACTAATAAAAACTCCGTCCTTCTTCTCGGTGACTTGCAAAGCAAGCAAGGGTTTCGAGACACAGTCGATGCTCTTGATGCCGTTGATGCCGTTTACCAGGAAGAAATCCCTGAAGAAATTGGGAACCGAGCCATCAAGTTGGAAAACATCACTTACCGAGACAGATTTGGCAATGGCGTGGACGAATTTGGCACCTAAAACTTCATCGCAATTGATGTAAAACGATACAGTTTTGTCTTCTTGATTCTCCACTTTGACGAGACGACCAGCGAAGGGGAAGTAGATCTCTAGAGCAGTCGAAAGAGAGGACTTTAGTCGAGAGATGAAACGGGTTTCCGGGTCGGGTTTGGGGAAGAGAAGACCTCTTTGAGGATATTCGAGATGAAGAAGGTTGAGATCAGATGGAGTAAGATGGATCTTTGCCCGACCCTATTGATCGGTGTTACACGGTTGAACAATGGTTGAAGAAATCACGGTCACATTTGCCATATTTTCGTCAAGAGAGAAGGAAACTGCAAATTTTTTATAAAACCAAACTGAATCATTGATAGCCACATGAAAGAAATCTAGAACCGATATCTTTCAACTTCAAAGCTTGACCCTATGCACTGTTAATATGGGACCATGTCCAAAATTATTGCGGTGAGATTAATAGATCATTGTGTTTTTCTAGGTAGACTATATAGAGAGATCATAGGGATTGAGATATTTTATAGTCTTTTATATCGCTCTATAGACCATATACAAAGTTTTATTTCAAGGATTTATTGTTTTAACTTTTAAACCTTTTGATAAAAAAACGAAAAAAATACTTTAATTAAACCCTGTATTTTTGTTGATGGTTACAAGGATTGATTGTTTTCAACAAAATTTCTCGATGTGGTCATGAGAGTTAACGAAAATCTTGCTCGATATATATTATATAATAAAGTATTTCTAATCAATTTTTGGTAATCTGCTAGTGGGGATCAAAACAAAACATCACCTTGATTATATATCGTCACTCTTGTTTAAACCCCACCAAAGTATGCTCCTCCTCTTATTGCTTCCACCATCTTCTGACTTAATCTATCACTATCCATAACATCTTGCGGTTCTTGCTTCTCCAACGATCTCAAAACATCAGCCGCACTCTCAATGTCTATCGTACCTTCCACGTACTGAACACATGCGTACGCAGAGAAAACAAGATCCTCCTTTGGATCCCACCCGTTTCGCCTCACCTCCATCGCCCTTTTCATCTTCTCCTCTTCATTATGATCTTTAACCATGTTGTTCACCATCTCTTCGGTTTCTTTCATCACAAGTTTTCTTTGGTCACCAGAAACCACAAGTTTACTGATATCTCCAGTACTATTCCAATCTTCAAGAACCTCGTGTACCCCTTCGATATCTTTTTTACCCAAAAACTCCGAAATCGTGAAAACATACCGTTCCACGTCAAACAATGTTGTGTCCTCCTTAGCTAAGTTCCACAAACGACGAAGATCTTCCTTTTCACCTCTACGTCTATATGTCATCATGAGATCCTCATAGTCTCTTGGTTCCATGAAGTACTTATAATCATCATCTGTAAACAGTAATCGCTCTGACCTACGCAGCGTAGCTAACGCAATTCCCTTTGGTCCTTTATCCTCCAACTTGTCAAAAAACTCTTCAATATACTCAACGGTTGATACTAATATGTGAGAAGCTAACACATTCTCAATCGGTACTACTTCAGGTTTCATGTTTTTGTGCTGAAGTTTTCTGTGGTTACCATAAACAACAAGATTTAACATATCTCCACTACTAACCCACTCTTCAAGAGCCTCGCAGGCCCAGGACCATCCGACACCTTCGTTCCTCAAATACGCCCAAATCGTGGAAACATACAAACGACGAAGGTCATGCTTTTCACCTATACGTGTGTAAATCATCATGAGATACGTATAGGTCACTGGTAGCAGCAGCATGTCCTCATCAGTACACAATAGTCGCTCTGACCTACGCAGCGTAGCTAAATCGATTCCTTTTGGTCCTTTCTCCTCCAACATGTCCAACAAATTTTCAATGCTCTGTAAGTTGTTTGACCTGTCTATGCGAGAAGCTAACACCTCCTCCATCGGTTTGCTGATGCTGCTGAGTATTGGAAGCATCTCCTTTTGGCGCCAACGTCGGATTATCTTCGATTCTCCTTCGGGTTCCATGTTTTTGTCATGGCGTAAATAGATGCTTCTGAGTTCTGAAAACTTGGTTACATGCTCCCACATAATATCTTGCAGCTTCTCCGCTCTTACTTCGGGTTTCATGTTTTTGTCGCGTAAATAGATGCTTCTGAGTTCTGAATATCTCGTTAGACGCTCCCTCCAAAAATCCTGTAGCTTCTTAGCTATTACTTCGGGTTCCATGTTTTTTTGACGCTCTTTTAGAGCTGCCTGGAGCAATGGAGTGGTAGAGGAGAAGGTCAAATCATCTGACGTAATAGATAAGACTAAAAACAAGTAATTATTTAAAACCCTAATTAATTAACCTGGATGGCTTCGCCAAAGCTACAAAGGGTGAGACTCTGCGAGGATATTGTTTTGGGGAAGCGGAAATTGGAAAACCTGCAAGGAAGAATCCTTACAAAGCGACCCACTTGTGGTTGTCGAGCAAGATGCTTCATGTTCAAGTCAAAGACAACACACAACAAAACCCTAGATAAGTCCTAATTATTTTTTTTCTTATTTGATTTACAGTATATGACCTCGTAAACGATTGTTTCTCTCGAACAATCTGGCCAACTCTATATCCAGGATCCAGCCAAAATCAATGATAGAAGCCAGCTCTATACCAAAAATTGGAAATGTTGAAAGAAAAAGAAAATGGAAACGTAAACATAAATAAATAAGTTTTACTTGTAAAACACACATAAATTAAAGGAAACCTTTTTTTGTTAAGACTAAAAAAGGAAACGTTTTGTACGATAGAATTGGCAAATTAATTAATTTTCCTGAACCCACCACAAAATGTCGATTAAGGACGTTCTGTCCCAATAAAGGAATTTAGAAAAAGAAAAAAAAAAAAAAAGACAATGATGCAGCGGCATGTGTTACACACAATGACATTTGTGTAATTGTGTCACACACGAAGACGTCGACCTAGATTTTATGGGATTTTCTACATAGAAGACAACTCAAAGCCACGTCTTTAAAGATTCATTTTCCGTACTTGCGCATAATCTGATCTAGGTCACTATCCCTCCGAGCATAATGTTTAATTTGTCATGGTTATTATTATTATTATTTTTAATCGACATTAAGTAAGATTTCTATAAAACAATAGAATCAGCATTAGGTGAGATCCTTATAATGCTGATTGATCTCATTGTGAAGTTACAACATGTAGAATCATCTTCCAATAGAATCATCTTTCAATAGAATCAGATCTTTCAATTCTGAAGATTTTTCTAAGCCTAATTAATTTTAAATGTATTGTAGAATCATCTTTCAATAGAATCAGATTTGTCTAATGCTGATTGATCTCATTGTGAAGTTACCATTCTATTGTCGTCCAGATCAAGAACGTTTATATACCAATTGTTGGTCCCAATCATAACCAAAAACTAATGTACCGATGTACGACTAGTGACTTTTTTCTTTCTTTCTAGTTTGTATTCATAATTATATATATACAGTATTCGAAATATGTGGTCAACTTTTGTGGGTTCAATGTTATATTTAATTTGTATTAAAAGTGTTAGACTAAAAAAAATGTAGTAAAACTGTTGAAGTATCTCATATATTATACACGTTAATAAATTCAAGGGCGTTCATCAATTTGAGGAAACAAATGTGCTAAATTCTGGTAGAGAATGGACACTTTTTATGTGTTTTTTTTTTAGAAATGTAGTAGTCGGTCGTATAAATGGGGTAGTTGCTGATATCACAAATTTCAGTTTTCAAAAGAGCAAAACATATCAGAAGAATGAAAATAGAGATCCTTTGTAATTCTTATAAGAATGAAAATACTAACTAAATGTTGGCGAAGTATAAATATACAATTCACTAATACAAATTTAAGGGGTCGTGATTAGGAATATATAATGAAAATCTAAGGTATATAACTGTGTTTGGTAATACTAAAGTATCATTTGACAAAAAAAAACATTTAAGAAAAACAGAATATAGGTTTATCTTCAATCACTTTTTCTTTATAACAAAGTACATACTCTACATACTCTACATACTTACAATGTTTTTAATGTTGACCAGATAGTGCACAAACAATTTTTATTTCTAAGCTGGCTTGATTTCATCAATCGTCTTTATAATGACCCCGGTACAAAATAATTTATGGATCTGCAACTGGTTTTTAAGTATTTTTTTAATTATTTATTTGATTACATTTTTTTGAAACTGTGATTATACGATGCAGTTTTACACATCAATTCTTTAGAAAGTCCGCTTCAAACCCTAGCGTATCTAAAAATAAAAACATCATTCTAAAACCTAATTTATTTCAAATTCTAGCGACACTCAGATACTTAGGCCACGTTACCATAAACATCTATGCGGCCAAGCCTTTATCTTTGAATCCGTCCTGTAAAATAGCTTTTGAAATATAGTTTTTATTCCCAAGTAATAGTCTGAACCAATTTTTTCGTGATAACATATTCTAAAATTTCTTGAGATTCGATGTTATATAGACAACAAAGTGACCGCAACAAACAAAACTTAAAAACTCTTAGAAACAAGCGATGAAGATAATCAATCTTTTCATCTTTTCGGTTGTGTTCCTAAGCATGACCAGCATAATCAATGGTGGAATAACAAGCTAATATGTACGACAAGCTCAACTGTTGATCGAGATGCCTTTTGAAACTTTCTTTCTCCGGCTGGTTACAATGCTCCAAAACATGTTTGATTTTTTTTTTTTTCCTTTGCTAATCTACATTGTTTTTGTTGTAATTTCGGCCAAGCTGACGCCTTATGGTATGCCTTCAGGTAACCGGAATATAGTGAAATTTTGAGCATTTTAATCGAAGAAGATTATGTACCATTCGAATATTACAGGCAGCTTCTATGTGATCATTTGTTTATCCAAAGCTTGCTCTTAATCACAGGTTCGTTTTGTTTCTGCGTTATACACTTTTAATTTGTGCTGATGTTATTTGTGCTTGTAGATCAATATAACGCATGTCAAGAATTTTTTTTGTCGCATTCAATTATTTTATTTCTTAATCAAATCCATCATACATCATACCATAGGGTCGCCTGAACATCAATATATACTTCTTTGCATAGAGACTGAGATATTTTCTAGGGTCTTTTATATCTCTCTATAGTTTTATTTCAAGGATTGATTGTTTTAACTTTTAAACCTTTTGATACAAAAAAATTATCAGAAAAACTTTAAATCCTGTATTTCCGTTGATGGTTATTACAAGGATTGATTGTTTTAAACAAAATTTCTCGAAGTGGTCATGAGAGTTAACGAAAATCTTGCTCGATAACCGATTTATATTATATAATAAAGTATTTCTAATCAATTTTTGGTAATCTAGCAAGTGTGGATAAATGCAAATCATCACCTTTTTTATATATCGTCACTCTTGTTTAAACACCACCAAAGTATGCTCCTCCTCTCATTGCTTCCACCATCTTCTGACTTAATCTATTACTATCCATAACATGTTGCGGTTCTTGCTTCCCCAACAGTCTCAAAACATCAGCCGCACTCTCAATGTCTATCGTACCTTCCACGTACTGAACACATGCGTACGCAGAGAAAACACGATCCTTCTTTGGATCTCATCCATTTCGCCTCACCTCCATCGCTCTTTTCATCTTCTCCTCTTCATTATGATCTTTAACCATGTCGTTCACCATCTCCTCGGTTTTTTTCATCACAAGTTTATTTTGTTCACCATAAGCCACAAAATTTTTGATCTTTTTTTTTTTGAATTGACAAATATCTATCTTCACTACTATCCCACTCTTCAAGAACCTCGTGTGCCCCTTGGATATCTTCTTTCCTCAAAAACGCCCAAATCGTGGAAATATACCCGTACTCGTCAAAAAATAATATGTTCTCCTTAGCTAAGTTCCACAAACGACGAAGGTCTTGCTTTTCACCTCTAGTTACATACATCATCATGAGACGCCTATAGACCATTTGTCTCATGATGTACTTATAATCATCAGTAAACAATAATCGCTCTGACCTACGCAGCGTAGCTAAGGCCACTCCCTTTGGTCCTTTCTCCTCCAACTTATCCAAAAACTTTTCAGTTCTGATCTGTTCGCTTGCGAAATATATGTAAGAAGCTAGCACCTGCTCAATCGGTACTCCTTCGGATTCAATGTTTTTGCCGTCCATCTCGCGTATATAGATTTTGGAGAGTATTGAAAACATCTCGCTTTGGCGCTTTATCAATTCCATTTTTTTTTCATCGCATAAATTCTTGATTCTGAATAGTGAAAGCCACACCTTATCTTGCTCTTGCCAATCCCAGACGACCTTCTTCGATACTCCTTCGGGTTCCATGTTTTTGTCATCGCGTAGATAGATGCTTGTTTCTGATAATTTGGTTAGATGCTCCGACCAAATGTCTTGCAGCTTCTTCGATCTTACTTCGGGTTTCATGTTTTTGTCATCGCGTAAATTGATGCTTGTCACTATTGAAAGCATCACCTTTTGGCGCCAACGCCGATTCCAGACCATCTTCGATACTCCTTCTTCGGGTTCCATTTTTTTGTCGTCAAGTAAATAGATGCTTCTGAGTTCTGAAAACTTGGTTACATGCTCCCACCAAATATCATGCAGCTTCTTCGCTCTTTCTTGAGGTTTCATGTTTTTGTCGCGCAAATAGATGCTTCTGAGTTCTGAATATCTCGTTAGACGCTCCCGCCAAAAATCTTGTAGCTTCTTAGCTATTACTTCGGGTGCCAAGTTTTTGTGACGTTGATCCCTTAGAGCTGCCTGGAGCCAATAGTTTTTGGTCAAAATCTGTCATATATTTTTTTGGTGTGATCAAAATCTGTCATATATGATTATAAAACTTAAAGCAAATAATTATTTCAAACCCTAATGGAGTAATTAACTTGGATGTCTTCGCCAAAGCTACAAAGGGAGAAACTCTGCGAGGATATTGTTTTGGGGAAGCGGAAAATGGAAAATCTGCAAGGAAGAATCCTCACATAACGATCCACTTGTGGTCGTCGAACAAGATGCTTCATGTTCAAGTCAAAGACAGCCACACATACAAACCCTAGATAACACCTATGTTTTTTTTTTTTCTTTTCTTATTTGATTTACAGTATATGCCCTTGTAACTCACCGTTGCTCTCAAACAATCTCGCCAACTCTATATCCTGGATCCAGGCACAAACTCAATGATCGAAGCCAACCAACTCTATATCAAAAATTGGAATTTTTGAATGAAAAAAGAAAATGGAAACGTAAACATAAACATAAATAAATAAGTTTTAAATAAGTTTGACTTGTAAAACACATAATTTAAAAGGAAACTTTTTTTTATTCTTAAAAATAAAAAAGGAAACTTTTTGTACGATAGAGTTGTCAACTTAGTTAGTTTGCCTGAACCCACGATGAAATGTCCATTAGGGACGGTCCCAATAAAGGAATTTAGAAGAAAAAAAAACACAAGAAATTGATTTATTCATCAAACATATGAATACTGTAAATCCAAAAAACACAAGAAATTTGTTCAACTAAGTATACTTGGCAAAAAAAAAAACGTATTGAATGGTGCAAATAAACCCCCTAGACACCAACGGAGTTAAATGACTAACTGGACAAAACACATCGTTTAACATATAAACGAAAACGACCGTGTTTTAGAGTTTACAATAACAGAAAGTAAGAAACGAAAGTAGAAAGAAAAGAAACAGAGGGTTTGGAGAAGACCAAAAAAATCGGATCAACAAGCACAAATAACATCAATAAGCAAAGATAAACCCTCTTGAGACCTAGCGAGAGAATTACGCAACCAGATTATCGATAAAGGCATGATTTTTCTTTCTTTTTTCTCTGAACTGGATCTTATGTGTTCTGCTAGCTCCTGAAATTTGCCGAGTTCGTTGTTTCTTTCGTTTTTGAAATCTTCAGAAATTCGGATTCTCTGAGAGATTGGCATTCGTCGCTAACAAGTCTCACCTTTTAGTATAGTTTAATAAGCGTGTTCTTGATCTTTGTATATACGCCTAAAGATACGAAATTGTTTTCCTTTTTTGTTTAGTTTAGAAGTTGTCCTTATGCTGCTCGATGAAATGTCTCACTGAACATAAATCTCAGGAAAGTCGAATGTGTGTTCGTTATTCTTATACTGTGAATTTTGGTGGGTTTGTCAGTTACTACAGAGAGAAATGGCGTTGAGGCAGAAGTTAGGATGGTCAGAGGGAGATTTGATGAGATCAGATGCAAAGCCATGTTCAAGGCTGATGAGACAGACTGCTGCCATTTTCGCTGTTGGTGGAGCTCTTGGTTTCTGGGTTCTCTGCAGACTTCACTACGGTGCAAATCTCTCTCTCCTTTTCTTATAGATTGGTTAATAGATTATGCAATCAAACTTTGTTCATTCTATGTTGAATTACTAGATTGATGTGGTGAATGATTGGACCTTTACATGTTTGGGGAAGCAATCGGCGTTTGCCTTGGTTCCTGTTGCCATTGGTTTTTGTTTTTGGGGGATTTATGGTTCAAAGGAACTTAGAATAGTTGAGAGACGAAGCCTAAGATACAATGGTTATAAAAGAAAATGTTGACCGGTTCCATTTCATGAATGTTGCCTCTTGGTGAATGTGCAGGTCCGAGAATTACAGTGCCGAGGAGTCTACGATGGGCTGGGTGTGGAGCTGTGTCCATGAGTGCATCAACCGCAACACTTGTTCGTCTCTTAAGCCCTGAATGCGAACCTCAAAACATTGCTGCATATGACCAGCCCAAAACCCCTCAAGCTTCACTCCCTTAAACCATCAGTTTCAGACTTTATCTATCATGTGTATGGACCTCAAGTCCTCAACTTTTTGGTACATTGTTGGCTCCACATGGATTTAGGTAACTATTAATAATACTACCAAATAATTTGTGACTTTTATGCGTCTTTATTTTTGAATATTCAAACAATACAATCATGTAATCGTCACATACTCCAGAAATTCAACATCAGCCAATAAGAGATCCACAAGTTGGTCGGACCATAAGGTCCCATGAACATCAATACTTCCATCTTCAATCCCTCTAAAAAGCGTGAGTCTGCCATTGATACTAGTGACCGGTCCAGCGTGAGCAGCGATCGGTTTGCCCCAACCGAAATCATTGTCATACACTTGGAACCAGGGAGAGCTTGCTACGATCACAGAATCACTAATGACCATTCTACTTCCAACAAATTTTGGGATCTTATAACCATTTCTAACACAATTCTCTGCAAAAGATTTATACTTTTCATCCGTTTGTGACCTCACCATTTTATTAATCTGCAAAGCAGCCCAGCCTAGCCCATGATCCAGCAGCTCCCCCACGGTGACTGTGGCTATTCCGAGATGGATTACATTCCCGAAACACTCTTTGTGAAGCGGAGGGTTTAACCTCTGCCTCATATCCATCGCTAGTTTGCAATGAGTCTCTTCTTCTCGGCTCATACCACTGTGTCTCATTATTGACCTCCACAGATGTGCGGAAAGCGCTTGTAAAGAGGAGATAGTCACGTCACTAGAGCCGTTTTCTCCGTTGGCTTTAGCTTTGAGATCTGAAATATTCCTCTTTGTGAAGTGAAAGACTCTCACTTTCGTAGTGGGAACCACCACCGGAGATATTTCCAAGCTCGGTGGTGGCATCTCCGTCTCTGAAGCCGGAATATGAAACGGGAAATCGATCCCGTCGAGGAACCATCCTCTGAGGACAAGAGGGTCAAGGTTCTTTTTCTGATGATCGGAATCATTCGAGCAAATCTTGGACCAAGTATTGAAGAAACTCCAGATCGAAGCTCCATCTGCGACCATGTGGTTGTATCCGAAACTGATGAAGACGCAATCTTTCATCTCGGTGACTTGCAACGCAAGCAAGGGCTCAGAGAGGCCGTCGATGTTTTTCAGGTCGTTGGCGGGAAAGAATCGGCTCATGAAAACAGAGTCATTGAAGCGACGAGAGTTTATGATGGAGCCGTGAGGTTGAAGAAGATCGCTCACCGATAAAGATTTCGATTCGGCGTGGACGAATCTGGCACCGGAGCTGTCGTCGCAGTCTATGAAAAACGACACAGTTTTGTCTTCAAGATTCTCTACTTTGACAAGACGACCAGCAAAGGGGAAGTAGATCTCCAGAGCTGTCGAAAGAGAGGACTTTAGTCGAGAGATGAAACGGGTTTCCGGGTCGGGTTTAGGGAAGAGAAGACCTCTTTGAGGACTACTGAGATGAAGAAGGTTAAGATCAGATGGAGTAAGATGGATCTTTACCCGACCCGAGTGATCGGTGTTACATGGTTGAACAATGGTTGAAGAAATCACGGTCACATCTGCCATTTTTTCTCGTCAAGAGAAAAAAACTGTGTGCAAATACCAAAATGAATTATTGATAAGCTACATAGAAGACAAGTCAAAGCCACATTTATAAAGATTCGTTTTCTTCATGTGGCGCCTGATTTGGTCAGTGGTCACTATCGTCCGAGCATTATGTTTGTTAATAATTACTGTATTTTTGTTTTTTTAAATATGCATTAGGTAAGATCAGCATTAAGGCCCTGATTGGCAAAGCTTATTGTTGAGCTGTAGCTGTAAGACAGCAGTACATTAAGAAAGCTGTAAGCTAGTAGATATTATTTTGCTGATATCTAATTTCTAAAGCTGTGAGCAGTAAGACATAAAATTACAAAAATAGACATAATTAGATCATGATAAAATTGTGAATAAGTAATTTAATGGTTAACGCAGAAAATTAATCAAAATAATAAAGGTAATAATGACTTTTTAAAGTTTAATAAGCTTTATGCTTTGGAAATGCTCTACTAGAGACTAGAGAGCATTGAAGTGTTGAGCATTTAGAGTCCAAAATGCTCCCTGCCCTGTTCAATTACTCTAACATGATTGGCTTATAGAAAAGCATTATGCTTATTAATATGCTACACCAATCAAAGCCTAAGTAATCAGCATTAGGTAAGATCCTTACTCACTAATCAGGACCCCTCAATTTTGTATAAGTGAATTATATTCCTACTTCGCCAACATTTAGTTATTATTTTCATTCTTATGGGTATTCAAGGATCTCTGTTTCATTCGTCTGATATGTTTTGCTCTTTTGAAAACTGAAATTTGTGATGGAAAATCTAGATTGTTGTTGTTGTTGTTTTTCGGTTCTTTAATGAAGAAGCTAGGGAACTAATTTTGATATCTCACGTACACAACTTGATCATACATTATGGTATGGCTTCAGGTAACATAAACATAGTGAAATTTCGAGCATTTTAATCGATGTACCATTCGAATATTAGAGGCAGATTATATGTGATCATTTGTTCTATCCAAAAGCTTGCTCTTAATCACAGGTTCGTTTTGTTTCTGCTTTTTACAATTTTTGTGTTGATTGTTATTATTTGTGCTTGTAGATCAATATAATGCGTCGCATTCCTCTGTTTGATTTCTTAACCAAATCAATCATACCTCATACCATAGGGTCGCCTAGTAAAATACTACTACATTAGACCATAGTAGTCACATTCTCTAAAAAATCGACATCAACTAGTAAATTCACTAGTACATCACACCATAGTGTCGCCTGAACATCAATACTTCCTTCATCGATTCCCGGAAAAAGCACAAGTTTGCCACTGATACTATTGCCCGGTCCAGCTCGAACCGCAATCGGTTTTCCCCAACCGAAATCTTTGTTGTACACTTGGAACCGAGGAGAGCTTGAGACAACTACAGTATTACCAGCCGTTCTACTTCCAACACCTGATTTTAGATTCTTTACATTTCTAACCCAATCCTCTGCAAAAGTCTTACAGTTTTCGTTTGTTTGCGAATTCACTAGTTTATTTATTTGCAGAGCAGCCCAACCCAAGCCACGATCAAGCAGCTCTTCCACAGTGGCTATAGCTGGTGCAATATAGACCATATTCCCAAAACACTCTTTTTCAAGCGGAGGGTTTATCCTCTGCCTCAAGTCCACCACAACTTTGCATCGCGTCTCTCCTTCTCGGCTTAAACCACTGTGTCTGATGATTGATCGCCACATATGCGCCGAAACCACTTGAAGAGATGAGATTTTCAGGTCACTGGAGCCAACCTCATCGTTGGCTTTAGCTTTGAGATCTGAAATATTCTTCTTTGTGAAGTGAAAAACCCGATCTTTCGTAACGGGCACAGAAGAAAGTTCACGGCTTGGTGGTGGCCTCTCCGCCTCTGAAACCGGAATATGGATCGGATAATCAATCCTCTCTAAGAACCATCCTTTAAGAACAAGAGGCTGATGCTCTGAACCTGAACCACTCGAGCAAATCTTGGACCAAGTGTGGAGGAAACTCCACATCGAAACACCATCTGCCACCAAGTGGTTGTAACAGTAACCGATGAAGACTCCGTCTTTCATCTCGGTGACTTGTAAAGCAAGCAAGGGCTCTGTTACGCCATCGCAGTTCTTGAAATCTTTAGCGGGAAAGAATTGCTTCATGAAATCCGGAACAGAACCATGAGGTTCAAGAACGTCACTCACCGAGACAGATTTAGCTTCGGCGTGATGAAATCTAGCGCCAGAGCCGTCGCAGTCTATGAAAAAGGAAACAGTATTGTCTTCAAGATTCTCCACTTTCGCAAGACGACCCGCGAAAGGGAAGTAAATCTCCAAGGCAAGAGAGAGAGAGGCCTTAAGTCGAGTGATTAGATTGAAATCTGGATCGGGTTTGGGAAAGAGAAGACCTCTTTGAGCGTAATCGATTTGAAGAAGACTGAGATCATATGGAGTAAGATGGATCTTTGGTCGACCTACACGGCTAGTGTTTACGGGTCGAACAATGCTCGATGAGATCAAAACTACTCTTTCTGCCATTTTTTTCTTCTCTAGTGTGAGGCTGTGAAGAAAAAGTAAGACTCGGCCTCTGTAAAATACTAACCACATACTAATTAGCAGGAAGCAAATCCTATCTTAAGTACGTAAGGATTCAATTATTCAAATGATTTTGGGGTTCTCAATTTTTTGTATGTTCTTGTTATAGAAAGTCTCGTGAATCTACCACTTTTCTTAAATGGTACTAGAAATTGGATTTTTTTAGTACTTGTCCATCAAAGCTTGTCTATACTGTTTTGATATATAAAATGATTTGGGTTTCTAAGAGCATGTACATCAGTGAGAGGTTCACCAGAATATAATAATATTTTCTTTTTGGTTTTAGTTTTTTTTTTTATTTAATTCGAAAATTATAATTTTCGACCAATCAGAATGTTCCATTTCGGGATGATACCGTCTCTTTAGGTTCGTCGGGATGATACTGTCTCTTCAAGATTAAGCTTTTTTATCTTAAAAACTGTGCCATGAACCCTTATTGATTCCCTGATGTACATGCTCTAACTTCCTAATTAGCAGAAAGCAAATCCTATCCTAACTTCCTAAGTTCGCTAGGATTAAAATGATTTGGGTTTCTTACTCTTTGTTCGTTCTTTTCTTAGAAAATCACGTGAATATACCACTTTTCTAAAACGATACTAGAAATTGGATTTTTTAGTACTTGTCCAGCAAAACTTGTCTATACTGTTTTTTGATATGTCATTTTTTTTGTCAATTAGTAAAACTTGTCCATCAAAACTTAGCATCTAAAAACTTGTCCATAAACAATTTTCTTTGAAAATATATGTGCAAAGTTATATTATTATAGTTCTTTATCAAAAAATAATATTATTTTAGTTTGTGTAATTTCGTGATAGACCAAAATGAACAAGTTTTGATGGACAAGTTGTTGGGCCGAAATTATTGAGCCCATTAAAGGTGAAGAGGAAATGAAGTATGCTGTAAGTGGTTTTGTCCCACATCGGTGGATTAGTGGGAAAATCTCTAGTATATATTAAGATATGTTTTATACATGTTTAAAACATATGAGAGAGAAAAGAATAAGGCTCATGCGCGCTGCCGCCAAGCTGGGCCGGGCACGGATCGTGTTGGTCGAATGAGACTAAAGCGAGTATTTTTTTTGGACCATATTTTTATGGGTGTTTTGGTCAACGTTTGATGTTGACTTTCTGCATATGTGTTTTTGATTCAGTCAAAGAGAATATTGGATATTCATTATCCCTTCAAAAACGTATCAGATTGTGATTAATCACAGAGTGCTGATTTCTCGCCTTTGACTACGCTAAATTTATGGCCGAGATTCGTGTTAACTAGCGGATTTCTTGTGATTTTTTTAGACTGCTCAAGTCTTTTTCTCCGCTATATATATACGACTTTTCTCTTATTTTTCACACCTTACACCTCTCATTTTTCCTCTCAGAAATTCTCTCAACAGTCTCTCTCTCTTTTTTATTTTTGTAAGTCTTCTACCGAGAGTATAGTAGAATTATAGTTCGTTTAGATCCGTGTTTCTTAGTGTTGTTGAAAACGGATAAGTTTGGTTGTATCATGCAACTCTTGGATTACAGAAACTCGTCGCACTATGGGCGATTCAAAGAGTTAAGGAAAGAGATCATACTCTCGCCTCCATTTGTTTATATTTTCCTTAACGTTTATTTTTAAAACTCGTATTTCAATTGCTATTTCGTAGTGTTCAATATTTTTGGTTCTACACAAGTATCATCATAAAATAAAATGAAAATTGTAGATACGTCAGAAATTTTGAAAAAGAGATTAAAATGAGTAATTTGTTTTTTAATTACGTGAGTATATATATGTTTTTGAAAAAGAAAAAAACAGTCGAGCAAAAACATTTCACAATTTTGTTGTTATCAGACAAATTTTTGTGTGTAAAACCTAGTTTTTCATAAATATATATATAAAATATCATTTAAAAAAAAAGATTTCAATTACATTTGGCTTAAAATCTAAACACACTCAACGAGTTCATAGAAGAATAAGGTTTTGGAACCGCTTTATATGTCTTCTTGCGGATATGGTTTTACGGATTTCATGGTCAATATATTCTTTGAAAATGATCGAAAAGTGATATTGACTATGAGTATAATAAACGTTCTTCCTCTGTTTCCTAAAATGTGAAATACCGCTGTATGTGCTGCAACTTTCCTGATGAGAGTAAATGGAGCTTCCGCAGAGCTAAGTGGTGTCCAAGATAGCAGCTCGAATGTTGCGGTGGGCTTACCCTGAGAAAATCATATGGTTTGAGATGATACCATAATTATACAGAGCAAGTTAACTAACTTACACAGTTACACTTATTTATAGCTAAGCTTGAGAAAAATTAGGAATAGTGAGTATACGGTAATTAACTGGTCAGTATGAAGAGATCTCCTAATGATGACAATTTGATGTTCAATAAGAAGAAAAAATGGGACATATATAAAAGAGCTACAATATTTCAATTTTGATAAAAAAAAAAAAAGATAGAATAATCTATTCGGCTAACTGATCTGCTCAAAGTTTAATCTCTAAGCTACTCTGCAAGAGCATAGATGTGCAGTTGTAGTATGTAGGGGTCGAACCACAGAGACAAGAGATCACTCAATAAACCTTATAGAGATCGAATTACGCTAAGCAGAAATATTGTAAATAAATAGCAATGCAAAAGAATTAGACTAAGCAGCAATAAAAACGGCTTGTAAGATTCAGATGGATGGAGATTAGGCTTAAGGCGTTTCTCAGGAGATCAATGAATGCTGAACAATCGATTAATCAGGGTTCAGGTTTAAGCACGGTTCTTGAACTCGAATCACAAAATTATAATTAACCAACTTCCGTTGTGAGAATTATCTAAGTTAAAATCCTAGAATTCCAAATTCCTTTGCAAATCCTACAGATTTAAACCAGCTTTAATGCACAAGTTCGATATGTTCACAAAGCAGCCAAACCAAATTCCTTTGCGAATAGCTACTTTGCTCACCCTAGGTTCTTTCCAGTTATTCAATTACACTTCCGTGTCAATCAATTAACCTAAGATCTAAGTTCTAGGTGGCCAGTCCAGAATTAGCTTTAAGAACAACCTATGGTGAAGAACTAAATAGATTATGAACCCTAAATAAATCAATCAATCAAACATCCAGAGAAAACCTTTATGAGAACCCTAAACCTAACAAACAAACTACTCAGACATGGAGATTGAAGCAATAAACATGAATGAATAGATTGCAGAAAGCAGTAAATAGATTAATAAACAGGGGTTCGAAATCTTCTCTCTCCGGAACAGAGTTTCAGACTTGTCTCCCCAAAAGCTCTCAAAAACAAAAGTTCTCTCTCAGAAAATCTAAGGTTTTCGTAAAAATGGAATAAAAACCCTATATATATCTCTAAGACACGTTTTGGGCTTCCTTGGAAACGTTTAGGCCCAACTCCTTCTTTAAATAGGAAACAAAATCGTTTTTTTTCTTATTTCTCTAACAAGTGTCGAGCGTCACTCTCCATGGTGTCGAGCGTCACTAAAGCACAAAATCCATACTTGACGAATTTGATCCTTGTTTAGCTCCAAAGTGCTCCAAAGTCTCCAGTTAAGCTCCAAACGTACCTATGACCTGAAAAGACTCCAAAAGACTCGAAAGACACTAAAAAGACTTTATAAATAGGACTTATACCATGGTTAAAAACCATAAAAACCATGATATATCAACTCCCCCAAACTTAGCATTTGCTTGCCCTCAAGCAAACAGAACACCAAATAAGAGAAAGAGGTTTGAAAACACAGAGATTCAACCTTTCATTGGAACATCGCTTTTGACCGATCACCTTGCAACTCAACTACCGCTTCATCATTCCAAATCGAACCACCATGTACTTCTCCGCAGACATTCACAGCTTTCCAGATTAAGTCCAAAATTTCACAACATTGTCCATCAACCCTCATCGCTGGATCTCACTGATGATTCCAATGCCTAGAACCTTCTAGATTCTTTCCCGTACTATATTCAAACAAATCAGCAATACAAACTTTGGTGCTTTTTCTCTCCCCCAGACTTATTATTTTCGCACATTCATCATCTTTTTCCTTTCTCTTTTTCATGGCATATACTCGATAAGGGTAAAGCTGCGAGTACTGATGGTGTTTGCCATCGAGTCCCCGAGTTGTCCCCTTACCTTGTATCAAAGGTTTTCAGCGAATAATGGGGTCATGAGAAACTTTCCTACCCCTCACTTCCTTCCTTTGTGTGATCATTCCAACTTAGAAGTGAAATAATGGGATCATTGGAAATATTCATAGCCCTTCACTCCTAAACGAAAATCATCTCAATCTTTTCGCCCTTTTTTTTTTATTTTCTTTCTTCTTCTTAGCTCGTCACAGGGAGAGAAACACCAACATTAAATTTCACACAGGCTTTCATTTGTCAAGTATGAACGAGGAATCAAGCTCTATGAACATCAGTTACATCAATGAGGTAAAAGAAAGAGTTTAGAAATTAGCTCAGGTTAGTGGATTCTGTGGGAAACATGGACGCCTCTAGTCAACTGGTCAGCCTTTGGATTTTTCATTAGTCGGATCTAGACTGAATCTGTAGCAGTGGTCACTTAGGTGAAAGGTCAGCACAATAATTCCAGGAAAAGCATCATGATCTCCAACTGGTTTTGACTCAAAAACGTTTTGACACAACTGACTCTTAAGAAAAACAGACACAATGTCAGCAACTACCTCCCCCAGACTTAAACAACACTGTCCCCAGTGTAATCAAATCCGAAGTTGGTGACAATAGAGAAAGTAACAGAGAAACACAGGAAAAACGAAGAACTTACCTGGCTGCAATGATGGTGTTGCGCGACACTGATGATGGTGTCGTGCGACACTTGTTCTCTTCGTACCAAATTGCAGCAGACTAATCCGAATTTCTGGTTTGACTCCGGTTACCTGATTTCCTTTTTTTTTTTTCACAGAAGCAAGTGACAAGCGACACCGAAGGTGGTGTCGCTCGACACCAGCCTCTGTTTCACCTGAGACACGAAAACAAAAACGAAAATCAACTGAAACAAAAAGA